TAAAAACATAAATAACCAACAGGGAAACACAGTTACAATTCACATAATACCAAAAAAGTTTGGTAAGGCTGTGGGGAAAATGGGGGGTTTCATACACTTTCTTGAAAGTAAATTAGTACAACCCCTGGGAAGAACAGTAACCAAATTACAATCACAATTTATAAAAATGCATTTGACCCAGTAATTACACTTGTTTCTTTTTTTTTATTGAGTTCTTAAAAAATTTTTTTGCATTGACACTTCTATGTTTCTATCTTACAGATATATACATGCAAAATATTTTACCTTATGTCAAACATTATTCATTGCAGCATCATTTGTAACATTAATAAATGTCTACCACGCAGGAGACTTACTGAGTTGTGGTATATACACACAATGGAATAGTAAATAGCCATAAAATAAAAAAATGGAAGCCCTTTATGTACTAATGTGAAAAAATTTCCCAGACTTATTATTGACTAAAAATAAACAAGGTGGAAAATACTGTGTACATTTTATTAACAACTGTATTTAAAAGGAGAGGAAGACAGTATTGTTATTTTTTGCTTAGGCATGTATTAAAAATATCTGAAAAGAGAAGAGAGGAAATTGGCTGGATGGGGACATAGGCACGCAACACTTTTTACTGTTTATTTTCATAACTTTATATACTTTTTGATTTCTTAATCATGTGACTATTAAAAATTAAATTATTTTTATAAGGTATTAAAATATTAGGATATTATATTGCAATATTAAGTTATTACAGTATTTATTTTAAAAAGGTATTATAAAAGGGACCTGGGTTCTGAATTGTAAGGAAAAAGATAACATACGCAGTTTCCTTTGTTTCTTTTTCCTCGCTAATCCACACATCAGTAATAGTACATGGCAAGCTTCCATCTTTGTTTGTTCCACTTGGCTCTTGTAGAATTTCTGTTTCCAAGTCATCAGGTTCTATAAAGCAAAAACATAACAATAAATATGTCTCAAAGAAAAATTTGTTGAGAGAAAATTGAGTAAGATTTCTATTAGTTATCACTACCTAGTTTTAGGCTAATTATATTATAAGAGAAATTATAAGAGATTATAATAAAATTATAAGAGAAAAAATTAAACATTTAATCTATAGGTCTTTAATCTTATTATTGTGTTAACTTTCTAGTTCAGTCATTTCTGAAATAGACTCTTGTACCTTTTCACTGTAATAAAAACAAAAGAAATATTGTATGCTCTGTATTTTTCATTACTACACTAAAATTTATCTTCATTAAAACTTTAGTAATATGTAAAGTAGCTTAAAAAGGTATAAAAACTAGTTTAAAAAATAAATATCTATGGTTAGAAATATGGATGCATATGAGCATATGCCTGTATTGAAACAACACACTGTACTCCACAAATATACACAAGTAATTGTTAAAATAAAAAAAAATTACCTTAAAAAAATAAGCAAAAAGAAAAAGATGTAAAATTTTCAACTGAAAAAAAAAATACGGACACATATACTGTGATATCACTGATTAGTAACTAAAAGGAAATTTCAGTCTTCAAAATCTATCCTATAGATTGACTTGTTCAGCAGCAATAAAAAACCCAACCAGTTACTAACAGTATACAAATATTGAACCTAATTGAAATGAATTGCCCAAACATTTATACACATTTTGGTGATTTGTTTATATAAAGGCTTTTTTATAAATAAAAAATTTAAGTATTAATAAATCAGATACAGCTCATTTTACCCGTTAAAACATACCTTCCAAATTTCCTTCAGGTTTCAATGACATCTGTAGATGTGCCTCATTAAACTTTGAGCTTTTTGTCTCAACAGGAGAACCAACAATAGCTGATGGGTTTATTTCACGTGAAATACTTTGTACGTTTTCTTCTCCAATAATTAAGGGTTTGTACTCTTCCCCTTCAGGAGAAATCTCTGTAAAAACAAAAAATGAAAAGTCATGCTCGTTCTCAAAATGACTTGAATATTACTTATAATGTCATTAAGAGCAAAGTTCAAAATTTGCATTCTTCCAACAGGTAATTACTGGTTAAATTCTGTCACGTATTTGAAATTAATAAATGATCAAGGTATATGATAGTCAAATTCCATTTCAATTGCACATAATGATTTCTAGGGTGGTTAATATGGTTTACTTTCTTTTCCTTTTGGTGAAATTAACACACAGTCATGTGCCACATAACAACATTTTGGTCAACAACTGACCACACATAAGACAATGGTCCCATAAAATTATAATAGAGTTGAAAAATTCCTATCACCTAGTGATGCTGTAGTCAAATGTAGCACAACACATCATGTGTTTGTGGTGGTGCCGGAATAAATAAACCTATGGCAAATATGTTGAGGAGACCCTAGCTTACCCACAGGATGGCCCTCCCAAAGGAAGCTCAGACCTTCAACTTAGAAAGCCAAGCATTTGACACATCAGGTCTACCCCAAATGAAAGTATTGTCTAGTTTAGAATTTTTGCATTTTCAAATGATTCCTGCCTATCATCATAGCAAAACAATACTTAATAACAGTTAGCTAATACTCCGTGAGTCAAGCGCTTGCTAAATGACAGGCACAATCCCTAACTGTAATTTAATTTTCATAACTTTGTGGGGGTGGTATTATTCTTAAACCCATTTAACAGGAGAGGAATAACAGATGAGGTAAGTGAGACACAGAGAGATCTAGTAACATAATTAGAGGGTCTATACTCATGAAACTAATGGCCAGTGTAGATACTAGTAAAATTCATTGCTGTTCCCTTTCATAATACACTTTTGCACAATGATGAATTTGGCCAAACAACACATTTCTCAGAATGTATTCCCATTGTTAAGCAACACATGACAGTATGCATATCAGAACGGTATTTTTAAAATTATTAACTAATTGTTTTTCTTTATATGTAGGAACTGCTAGTTACTTCTAATTGCTCTGAAATTCTCCACATTTTTAATTGGTGCCAGGAGAAAATAGACTTACCTCAGAACAACTTATTGTAGTTATATACTCCCAGGTCACTCCCATTTATTCACTGGAGATTTTACTTTCCAGCTTACCATCTCCCTAACACTAATCCTGTCTTAACTAATTTAGGTGATTTCTATATTGATATCAAAATTCTTCCAATATCTAGGCCTCTCAGTTCATTGACCTTCATCCTCCTTCAGTCTTCACCCTACCTCAGTCACTCCAATGGTCATACCTTAGAGATCTTGTCACTAACTGCAGCCCTTCAAAATTTTCAATATTCGTAGACCTAGATCCTGACATGTTTCCCTTATGTTTTCCCTTAGTAGTTTTACAGTTTCAGGTCTTAAATTTAAATCTTTAATCCATTTTGAGTTGATTTTAGTATATGGTGAGAGATGCATGTCTAGTTTCACTCTTCTGCATATGGATATCCAATTTTCCCAACACCATTTATTGAAGAGGTAGTCTTTTTTTCCCCCAGTGTATGTTTTTGTTGCCTTTGTCAAATATCAGATGGCTGTAAGTCTGAGGGGTTATTTCTGGGTTCTCTATTCTGTTGCACTGGTTTCAGTGTCTATTTTTATGCCAGTACCATGCTGTTTTGGTTACTGTACCTTTGTAGTATAATTTTGAAGCCAGGTAGTATTATGCCTTCAGCTTTAGTTTTTTTTTGCTCAGCAGCCAAAAAGCACAAGCAACAAAAGAAAAAAAGGGACTATATCAAACAAATGGGACTATATCAAACTAAAATGCTTCTGCACAGCAAAGGAAACAACCAGCAGAATGAAATGACAACCTACAGAGTGGGAGAAAATTTTTGCAAACTATACATCTGACAAGGGATTAATATCCAGAATATACAAGGAAGTTAAGCAATTACACAGTAAAAAGACAAATAACCCAATTAAAAAATGGGCAAAGGAGCTGTATAGACATTTTTCAAAGGAAGACAAATGGCCAACATACAAATGTCCAACAGGTACATGAAAAAATGCTCAACATCACTAATCATCAGGGAAAAGCAAATTAAAACCACACTGAGATATCACCTCACCCCAGTTAGACTGGCTATAATGAAAAAGATGGAGAATAACAAATGCTGGGTGAGGATGTGGACTGTAAATTAGTGGAATACAGTATGGAGGTTTCTCAAACAACTACAGATAGATCTACCATACGATCCAGCAATCCCACTTCTGGGCATATACCCAAAGGAATGGAAATCATCATTTCAAAGGGATACCTGCACTTCCATGTTCATCACAGCTCTATTTACAATAGCTAAAACATGGAATCAACCTAAATGTCCATGGATGGTTGACTGAATAAGGACAATGTGGTATACATGGAATACTACTCTTCCATAAACAAGAAAGAAATTCTCCCATTTGCAACAACATGTATGAGCCTGGAGAAACTTATGTTGAGTGAAATAAGCAAAGCAAAGAGGGATAACTACCGTATGTCCTCACTCATATGTGGGAGCTAAGAGAGAAAGAAGGAAGGAAAGAAAGACCACAGTGGTGCACTGTGGACTTGGATTACAAAGTGGAGTGGGTGGGAAAGGGGGAGGGGGAGGGAGGTTGGGGCTAATTGGGTGGGGGAAATGGGGTACAGATGCTATTCATTGTAATGGGTATGCTGCCAGCATGAATCTAGCTTTCACATCTTGGGCCTGAGGGGTGATGATCAGCTTTGTATCTCATGAATATTCATAACAAAAAAAAATCATTGAGAGGAGTAAACTACTGAGAAGAAATTCTTGAATCTATGTAAAATTCTCCTAAAAAAGACAAAATCCCTTCAATTATGGCTGACTCCTAAACTACGCATGCACAGGCAACACTTCAAGAAACAAGCATAAAACGGTAGCTAAGAAGACAAAATGCTGAACAAAGATATGAGCAACTGGGTGGTACTGGGGAAAAAGATTATAGATCAAGTCCCATGAATGTGCAGGGGACTTGGTAAACATCATAAATTTTTACTTGAGATTTCTGGAAGATCAAGGCATAGGAGTAGAGGATACATGTTGGAATAAGTTTAAAACTAATCTGCACCCTGGATTTGTATAGCCTACAGTTTAAATGGCTTTTACATTTTTAAAGAGGAGCAGGATAACAAAGAACATGTGACAAAGATCATATGGCTTACAAAGCTCAGAATATTTATTATCTTGTCCTTTATAGAAAAAGTGTATTAACCTCTGTTATAAAGCATGCTTAAAAAAAAACACATACAAACAAAAAACCCCTGAAAACCAAGAAAAAAAAAAGATAACAGAAACAGATATAGATAGCTCAGCTATAAGATTTATCAGTCAGGGACTTTATGTTCAGGAAAAGAGAGAAATAGATGGGCCAAATATAAATCTATGGAAATTTTTAACAGAGAATTGGAATCTATCAAAGAAAATTAAACGGATATTCTAAAATTGAAAACACAATATCTGATATTACAAACTCATTAAGTTTAAAACAAGCTAGATATAGCAGAAGACAGGATTAGTGAAATAATAGAGGGAGCAATAAAACTATCCATACTAAAATAAAAAAGGAAACAAATATTAAAAAAGCAGAATAAAGCATAAAAGATGTATGCAACAAATTCAAAAGGTCTAACATATGTGTAATTGGAGTCCAAAAAGAGGAAGAGAGAAACAAGCAGAAGCAATCAAAAGACCTAATGAACATAATTTTTCCTAAACTGATAAAAAGGTAGCAACCCTTTAGTTTAAGAAATTAAGAAAACCCAAAGCAGGTTAAAGATAAAGAAAACCAAAAAAAAAAAGAAGGGCCGACCCCGTGGCACACTGCTATAGTACACCGCTTGGGAAGTGCGGCGGCGCTCCCGCCGAGGGTTTGGATCCCACATACAGACCGGTTCCCGCTCACTGGCTGAGCGAGGCGCGGGAGCAACACCAAGGGCTGCGATCCCGTTGCCGGTCCCAGTCCGGTATGGGGGCGACACTGAGGGTTGCGATCAGTTGCCGGACACGGAAAAAGACAAAAAAAAAAAAGATAGAGAAAACCACAACTAGGTCAAACTGTTGAAAATCAAAGAGAAAATATTAAAGCAGTTTCAGAAAAGCATACATTACTTTCAAAGGAGCAGAAATAATACATATAGCCAACATACAACTAGGAATGCCAGAAGAAAATGTGATGACAAGTGTACAAAACAAAATGAAATAAATCAAACACGAAACAAAACCTACCTACCTAACCTAAATTTAATACACAGTGAAAATATTCTTTAAAACTGTAGGTGAAATAAAGATCTTTCTTAGACAAACAAAAGCTGAGGAAATTTATAAAGAGCAGATCAACTCTACAGAAAATACTAAAAAAATTCTTCGGACTAATAGAAAAAGATATCAATAGAAGTATGTAATTTCAGGGAGGAATAAAGGCATTTGAAATGAACAAAATGTGGGTAAATTTAAATGAATATCGATTGTTTGCCACAATAATAATAATATGTTATGAGCTCTGTAAAATATATGAAAGTAAAATATATAGCAACAATAGCACAAAGGGCTAAAGGGAGATATATGGAGTAATATTGTTAAAAGAACTTCACATGGTTTGAGAAAGGGTTTAAATATCAAATTAAGGTACATTTAAATAAGCCTGTGGAAAAATCAAGGAAGAATACAAACTGCAATCTCTGGACCATGACAAGAGGGTAACTAAAAAATGTATAATTAAAAACTAATAAGGGCTGGCTTGTTAGCTCAGTTGGTTAGAGCAAAGTAATTGTAATACCAACATCAAGGGTTTGAATCCTGGTACTGGCCAGCTGCAAAGAAAAAACAAACAAACAAAAAAAACTAATAAAACAGTAAAAATGAAATGCTTGATTAATCCAAAATAAAAAATGAAAAAAAAAAGGACTAAAAGATTAAAGAAATAAAGAATAGATGGGCCAAATAAAAAACATTGTAA